ACACACACACACAAACAAACAAACAAACATACACACACTGACAGGGTCGTTGCAATATGCGTTTTTGCTGCCTGTTACAGCGTTCTAGCGCTGCACGGTAAAAATGCATAACGAGTGATTGCAACAGGAAGCACAAAATCCAAACGTATTGCAGTAATAAAGGAGTAGCCGTCGCTTAATCGTTTTTGAATAGGAGTTGCCAAATTTGGTATGTGTCTGAAGCACGGCTGGTCTCTGAGATGTATTTCAGTCACTGCGTGAATTCATTTGTGCACATTTTCCTTAGTAGCAAATAATGTCAGGCTTGAGCACTAAAACAGCAGTAATTTGCAGGCCACCGGAAACTGAAAGGGCTTCAGGAGCGCCTTAGGCAGACCGAATTGGCAATGGAAAAGATTTTAGAACAGCTCAATACAATTTCTGCAGAGAATGCTACTGCGAATGTCGCAAAGGAGGACTTGACAAATGAAGCCGATCAAACGGAAGCATCGAAGCAGCAGTCGTCACTTCAAGACGGAAAAACAGAACAATATCTACGTGACCTCGAAAAGGCTAGCACATTTATCATCTTGGAGAAGTTCTTCCAGACGCTACCACGAACGATGTGTGGGTGGAGTTGAATACACATTATCTGTGTGAGTGAATACATATTATCCCTGGGCACTTTTCTGCGACTCGCTCTTTTAGTGATGAAAAATTGGGACTTACTTCAGATCCAAGCCACCTGTCGAGTTTGCCAGTGAGAAAAATCAGTCTTTATGTGATTCGATTCGTTCGATGGTAGATTGGTACTGTAACGTGTCAAGAAATCAGAACTGGCCTGTTTTTGAGCTCGAAAAGGGCAGCATCTACAGTTTTGTGGGCAGATGAATGTTGTTAACATAATGTTAGCCAAGCAATCGCTCCCAAGCTCATCCACATTTTATAGAAAATGAAATACGTAAAAAAGCTTGCATAATTTTTATTTTTTTGCTGTGCAACGCTATAGCGCTGCTAAAGTTAGCAAAGGCGCATATTGTCGAGAGATAGTCCGTGTGTGTATTTGGAAGCGAATGAACTTTGTCACCCACTTTCAATTCATCAACCGGGGACGCTGGGAGGCTGAAATTTTGAAGTCATATTTCCGCCCCGTATGTCAACCCCCGTTTTATAATCTTCGCTCATATGCGCCTGGATCTCGCATACGGAACCCCGGAAAAATTTGTAATTTTTTTGGCGAGAAACGATTCCGTGAACCTAAAACTTTGCAGGGTATTCTCTGTGAACGTATGAGCTAAAAATTTCAAATTGAGCTGTCGCGCAGACTTGTACCAATGTGCGTGGTTACGTCAAAGTTCGCAGTTGGCACTGTACCAGTTCGAAACTAGCCAGAAAACAATAGCTGAAATTTTATCAAAATATTTATTCGTGTAGAAAATCGTATACCTAAATTGAATTTCGATTTGCACATGCGCTGCG